GGTGGGGGTAATTCCTCCTGCTTGGGGCCCAGAGGTCACTTCTGGCTTCTCAGCTCCAGGGCCTTCTGCTAAAGGCGTGTCTTTCTTCACCCAGGACATGTTCCCGTAGACCCTGACGGTGCCTCTTCCTGGCCAAGAAGTGCGCGTTCCCAAGCACGAGTGCACCATGGCCGGCCGGCGGGGCAGCAGCGCGGCCTGTCTGCTTTGGCTGCTGCTGCTTTGGAGTGGGGACCGCGGCTGCCAGGCCCAGAGGGCAGGTAGGGCCGGAGGCTGCGCGGGGCTGGAGGCAGGACAGCCTCTGTGCGAGTCCCAGGGGCGCGGCTGTGTGCCTGCGTGTGAGCGAGTGAGGGTGTGGGTCATCACCGGCGAGGTGCCAGCTGCCCTCCAACCGATGCATGTTGTAACCAGTGCAGCTGGGGCGTGTGCCTGTGTGTGAGCGTGTGTGTGTGAGTGTGAACAAGAGAGAGTGAGCATGTCCTGAGTCAGACATATGTGTGCTGAGAGCGCGTCTCTGTTGAGCACATGCAGGATTTGGGGACAGCAGGCGAGGATAGCATCCTACTGTCTCGTCCCGTCCTGGGAGGGTGTTGGGCCACATCCCGGGTGACACTGGACGCGCTGGGGTCCAGCCAGAAGAGGGGGCCAGGACAGGGCATAGACAGGAAGTGGGAACGTTACTGGAGCAGAGGAGGCCCGGGCAGGAGGAGTGAGAAGGGACAGGAGGGTTTGCTCACCTGACTGAGGGCCTCGTAGGAGGAGCCACGGCCAGTGGGGGACGTGGGGAAGGGGTCGGAGACGTCTGTATCACAGCCCCAGGCCGAGAGCACGCACAGGGTTGGCCGGGGCCTCAGGGAGAATGCCTGGGCTGAGATGCAGGCCCTGTTTGCAGATGAGGAACCGAGGTAAAGAGAGGCCCCCCTCACCCCCGTGAGGCTGGGGGACCCAGGAAGGTCTGGGGCAGAGCCAAGGCTTCCTTCCTGGGGCCACCAATGAAAACAAAAAGCAAACAAGCCCGGCTCGGCCTCGGGGTTCTGGGGCAGTTTACAAAGCTCCCGCCTGTCTCGCGCTGCCTGAGCCTCCCGAAGCCTGGCTGCCCGGAAGGACGGCGACAGGCGCAGGCATCTGCTTTTCCCACGCGGGGCGCCGGGCCTCTGAGGTTTCTGTATCCCCGGGACGACCCCAGTGCCCCATTGACCTCCAGGGCTGTCAGATCCGGGGGTCCTCTCTCCGAGCCCCCGTTTCACGGAGCGGAAGATGCAGGCCCGGGGCGAAGCTGGGGTGACGGGGCCCTGGCCTGCGGCGGAGCCGGAGGCCAGAAGCCAGGGCCCTTCCTGAGACGTCGCTCTTCGTTCTCACGTGCCCGCGACCCGGCCTGCTCCCTGACCTCCCGGAGAAAATGGCCCCCTGGGGAGGCCTCTTGAACAAATGAGCCTTTTGCAGCTTAAAAAACAACTTTGCTCAAGGATTACAGTCTCGGCTGGGCGGCCTGGCCGGCAGCAGCAATTATCCTGAGCAGGCGGGACTTTATTGTTACAAAGACAAAAGGATGACCTTTTGGGTCAAGGAGAAAAACTCCCCAGGAATTACCTCTTGAGTCCACACATCTGGGCAAACACACTTCTAAAGCGCTAATCTTGTTAGGGGTCAATTCTGCCAAGGCAGGCGTTCACCTCAGCTCCTCCGTGGACTGGACTTGGATTTGAAAAACTCAAGGGGAAGGTGGGTGTGGGGTTCAAGGGTGGCACAGGCACAGGGAGGGATAAGGAAGTGTGTGTATGTGTGTGTGTGTGTGTGTACACATATATGCAGCTTTATTGTTTTTCTGTTTTTTGCACTTAATTCATTGCTTGTAAACAAAATAAAAAATACAAAGTAATAACTTATAATGGAAAAGAATCAGAAAAGAAAAAATACGTATGTATGTAGTTGTATAACTGAATCACTTTGCTGTACACCTGAAATTAACACTGTAAATCAACTATACTTCAACAAAAGACTTTTTTTAAAAAAGGAAAAAAACATAAATATTTGTAACATACACCTAGCAAAGCGTGTAGAGGAAACTTTAACGTTTGAATGCTTATATTAGAAAACACAAAAAAGCCAAGAATTTATTTGTCTACATATATAAAGTGAGAAAAAAAAGAACAAATTAAACACAAAATAAGTCAAAGATAGAAAATAATAAAGAGTAGAAATTAGTGAAGTATAAAGTGAATACTAAAGAAAAGAAGACACTAAAAAAAAATACAAAGTGATATAATTCTCTCATGGTTCTGCTTGCCAGAGGTGAGCAATGTTTCTTTTTGCAGCTTCTTGCCTGCATGCACAGTTGTACACAGAGACACACGTGCCTTTCATAGCCAACAATAGAGCCGGAAAGGTTTCCGTGCTGGTAAATAAGGGCCCACCATCACTGTCACGGCTGCCTGGCTTTCGGCTGTGTGAGCAAGGAGCGAGGGAGGAGGAGTGATTTAAGGAGGTCCCTGTGAGTGATCATGGAGGCGGTCTTCCAGGACTTTGCTTGGCAATGCTGCCATGAGCTTCCTTATACATCTTTTTTTTTCCCCTTCCATTTATCTGATGGTTTTCCTAGGATAAATCATTAAATCTAGAATTGGTGGATCCAAAAATATACTCCTTTATTTGTTTATGTATTTATTACAGAGGAACTGGGGATTGAACCTAGGACCTTGTGCATGCTAAGCATGTGCTCCACCACTAAGCTATACCCCCCCACCCCATTTTCCTTACATTCTCACTGGCTACTATCCTAATGGCAAAAGTCAAATGGTCTTTTTGACTTTTGCCAGTAGGACAGTCTAATAAAGTAGGATTCCTTTTTGGTTTGTTATCATTTTTTATTTTTTTCACTAATGAAATGTTTGTGCCAGGTGTTCCCAGAGGCCCGGTCAGCTATGGCTGTTGGCATGGCCAAGACGCAGATTCCGGAAGAGTGGAGACAAGGGCGTATTTTGCTTCCCCTTCGTATTTATGCTTCAGTGTGGCGTTTAGGCAACTTTTCCTCATATTATCTAATTGTAAAATGGGGGCGAGCACCCACCCCTTGCACAGAGTTGCCATGTGGATCACAAATACAAATTATATAGTGCTGCAGTTCATTTAATCCGAAACATTATATAGTTCATATAAAATTTATGTTTGTTAAAATACAAGCATACGTTTATAAAGCACTATGGCATTTCTGAAACATATGAACGCAATCTATTGTAGATGATTTCTAATAGGGAACTGCTGAGCACTGTTTAACTATCCAACAGGAGAGCTCTGGCTAAATAAATTATGTTCATCCCTGTTGGGGAATCTCTGCAGCCATGGAAACCAGCATTGTCATACTGGAAATGGACTCCCAGCACATCACTGCAAGCGGGGAAAGCAGCTTATCTATCAGTGTGTCTGGTACAGCCCCCCTCCATCAATGGCTACAAGGAAATAGAACATACATAAATAGACCCTGGGTTAGCATGCCTATCACTGAGCAGCTGGCAATATGAGCGTTTAAAAGATTTTTTGATTGCTTTTTCTGCCTTTTCAGAAATGGGGATATGTTACTTGTAGTAGGTTTGAAAGATAATGAAGTCTCTTTTTAAAATGTTTCAATTTTTTAAATTAAAAAATTTTTTTAAATTGAAGAATAGTCAGTTTACAATGTTGTGTTAATTTCTGGTGTACAGCATAGTGTTTCAGTTATACATATACATATATTCCTTTTCATATTTTTATTATAGGTTATGAGATATTGAATATAGTTCCCTGTGCTATACAGTAGAACTTTATTGTTTATATATTTTATATATAGTAGTTAGTATCTGCAAATCCTGAACTACCAATTTATCCCTCCTTTCCCGCCTCCTTCCCCCTAGTAACCATAAGTTTGTTCTCTATGTCTGTGAGTCTGTTTCTGTTTTGTAAATAAGTTCATGTGTGTCATTTTTTAAGATTCCACATATAAGTGATATCATATGATGTTTTTCTTCCTCTTTCCAGCTTACTTCACTTAGTATGACGATTTCTAGGTCCATTCATGTTGCTGCAAATGGCATTACTTTATTCTTTTTTTATGGCTGAGTTGTGTGTGTGTGTCTGTGTGTGTGTGTACTGCAACCTAATTACCCAGTCATCTGCTGATGGCCATTGAGGTTGCTAATGAAGTCACTTTTGAACCAAAATAAAAGGAGTATTTAAAGAAAATGACATGGTGTTCCATGACTGTTACTCATTTATATAAAAAAAATTCTATATATAAACATGTATTTCTATATACAATATATGTAAATACATAAATGATGGGTATATAAATACATTTATAAACTATATATAAACTATACATACAAACTGTGTATAGGTAACCCATACATACTGACTATATATGTAGTCAGCCGGACCCCACAGCAACCCGGGGGGGGGGGGCGCACACCTCATCACGTGACGGTTGGGAGGCGGGGCCGGGCCTTTAAGGCCGCGGCACGGCTGGCCGCGGGGAGGGGCGGTGGGCGGTGTTAGCCGCGGACCTGGAGACCCGGAT